TTTCTTTGGTTGACAGCAATTCAAGTTTAGACGATCGTAAACAAGCATTTCAATTTGGTTTTTGTCGATTTAAAAACGTTTAAAAGACAAATGTATGTGTAAGAAAAGAATAGGTGTGTCGTTGTGTGTGTTGTAAATAAGAATCTTTAAACAGCAGCTTCCAATTTGTGTCGCGATCCAACATTTTTTAAACCCGGACGTTTTGATTTATTAAAAATAGTTATTTTAAAATATTAATTTTAAGGGGAGGAAATGGGGGTGAATGTTTGTATGGGAGTATACATTTTTTTAAAGATAGAAGCTACTCATCATAAATAAATAATGACGTATTTCAGTGATTTTGGATATTTACATTTTAAGGGGGGGAAATTAGGGGTGAAAGGGTGTAGGGGGTATCGAAATTGTTACAAAAAAAGGAACCTGAAAATTTGAATTGTAGCAACTCATCACAAATACATAATGACGTAATATAAATAATGACGTAATACAAGGTTTTTGGATTTTTACAACGTTTGTATGGGAGTATAGATTTTTTAAAGCTAAGAACTTGAAAATTGGAATAGGAGGTTATGATCTCCTGATACCCTAGACGTTGAGAAAATGTTTGGTATCCATTTAAAATATTTAAATTATACAGGGTGGTCCATTACTGTGAAAAGTTCAATATCTCTGGTACTATTGAAAGTACAAAAACATTTACAGAACGGTAGGCATTAAACTCTATATTTTAAAATTTGTTTCGAATATACAGGATGTTCAGTAAATTCAGACTGTAACAAACTTATGTTTCTTAAATGGATTACCCAGTATTTTATTTTATATTTGCATTACCCTTGTTTTTCCCATTATAATATCAATCGTATGGGATTACACAAGGTGTTTCACACGCTATAATCTATTTTTATATAAAAATGGTACTTATTTTTTATTTTAAATACACCATTCAACAGTACCCTAATTTAAGAGTTTTGGATATTTTTAAATTTAAATGACAAAAAGTTCATTCAAAAAGAAGACTTAATTAATAAGTATTAATTATTGTTAATAAGTAATTAGAATTTAACTACCTGTAAATTATTCATTTATCATTTATCCATTAAAAAGCACAAGTTTGTTTCACAGTGAAGTTATTGAACACCCTGTATATTTGAAAATAATTTTTTATATCTCTAATAGTGCCGAACATATTCAACTTATTCACACTAACGGGTCACCCTGTATAGTTGATAGTGCACAAAGATTGCCACCAGAAAATGTTATTCACACATTTTAGAAATTGGAGCGTTAATTTTTTTGCAGTAAATAATAAATGAACAATTTTCATAGATAGTTACTGAAGTTTATTAAATATTGAAACCAAAAGTGTCATATTTCCCAAAAAAAAGACTATTTACCATGTTCTTTGTCACAGGACATCTGTTTAATCGATAAATAATCCCACAATTATTAATTATTTCTGTAATTTACTTTACTCTCTGATTTTTAATTTGATTTGACAATATCGCAAAACTGTCGCCGCTCAATCAATAAATAATCCCACAATTATTAATTAACTCTGTTAATTTACTTTATTCTCTGATTTTTAATTCGATTAGGCAACATCGCAAAACTGTCTTAGCTCAAGATACATCCAAGTGGATAGATTCAGAAACTTTAATTCTATTTTTATTCGTAGCAGTATTGACTGGACTAATGTTTTATTGACTTTTAACAATTTTTCAGCGTTTAGAATAAATCTTATGTGGTGTGTAAAGCAATAAACAGTTATAATAACAGAAAATACGCTAACTTTGTACGTTTATAAATGTTTTAAAGATAAAACTAAAAATAGACTTTTTAGCATGTCAATGTAGTGTCAAGTGTCATTTTAAAGCATTAGTGTTATAAATGCAGCTTTAATATATTAGTATTAAAAGAATACTAGGTTCGGTTGTAAACCAAATAAGCAAGAGAAAAATACAAAACTTTTATTAATTAACAAGAAATTTTAAATAAATAAAAATAAATATTTTCTGATGAACTATTGATATTTAAACAGTTTCCATAATGTATTAAAGATATTTTAGGTAAACAATGAATAATAATGTGTTAAATTTATAATTTGTATCTGTTATCTGCTCCTCTGCTCCTCACGGTATCTATCTACTTTCTACTCTAATTTTACTTTTATCCTATTACTAATTTTCTGTTAATTTCTCTGGTTTGTGAGAATAAATTAAAGTAACATTTTTACCTTTTGTTTTATTATTTTTTATGTTTCTTTTATAACAATTTTAATACGTCTTTCAATATAAGTCTCTTGGAACATCCAATATCCAATATCTAATTTAAATTTTCTTCAAACCCGTCTTTCTTCCATTAATTTTTCACGAACTTTCACATTAAAAGAAAATACGCCATTACTTTTAATTTTGAGTCCAATGTACCATATCAATATATTTATATCTCTCACAGAAATCAGATTAAAATTCAAAATTTTATTTCCTGTGAACTCTTATCGCGGCAGGATAAAAAAATGAGCTACACGGTAAGTTGAACTGGAACTGCATATAATTTCCCCTTTTTCGTTCTAGACAGATGAAATTAGACTAGGAGTTTTTCATTAAGAGGCCACTTTTTCTTTTTCGGTTTGTAATTAAGAATCTGATAATTAAAAAAGTTTTCAGTTTTAGCGACCCTTCCATATCGCGGGAACAGTATTAATAACCTTTCAGCGGTTTTGCGAAATGATAACGTCGACCACTTAGAGACTTAAAAAAAGTGGATGGGGTTTCATTTATTTATAATGTTATTTACTATACGATAGAAACTTTTTAATTTTCTTATTTACTCAATTAATATTTTTGATATATTTTATCTAAGTTAAAGACCATAAGTTAGTACCCACAAAAATCTTGAACCAAATTAAAATAAAGGGATGTTTAGAAAATGTTCATATTAAAATAATCCTTATAGTGTAAATGATCGCTGTAATATTCAATATCTTGATCAAATATCGTAATAAAATCTATTTCAATCATCTGTAATAAACAAACAAAAAAAATATTTTAATTTTAAACTAAATAACAAAATACATAATCAAAATATTTTAATATGAAAATTTCGCTCACCATATTATTACCTACTTAAAACAACAAAAAACCATATAATAACAATGAAGAATGTGAATTTGAGTTTAAGATTATGACAAACGTAAACAAAATTACGCCATTTTCAAAAAATCCTGCATGGTAGGTATACGCTACAAAAATAGTACATTATATACCTAGGGTGAGAAGTGAGCTATTATTTACCGAACACTTTTATATCCTGAGGCGCGTAGCGCCGAGGGATATAATGTGCGAGGTAAATAATAGCTTTCTCAGCCGAGGTATATATAGAATTTTTTTTACTACTAACATTAATGTATTAGCAATTTTAATTTTGACATAAGTAATTTCCTAACAATTTGTTAAATATTTCGAAATATCAAGCAGACTAGAGCGTGTTTCTAATCAGACTGGCTTTATTTATGTAAAAATTTGGCATGTGTCAAATTTTGGTATGATTCTAGGAAATATCCCATTGCATTTTTGATATTTTAATGACATGGATTTATTGTTATTAATTAATAATTTTTAAAGCCGGTGTTGAATTTCCTAGTTAATATATATTTTTACTGTTTACACTGATATATATTATCATATTTGATTTGATTAGATTTGATAAACCCAGCTTTAGTTATTTCCTACTTATTTTTCAAATATTTCAAAATATCAAGTAGTCTGGGAGTTTAGTTGTCAAATTAACAAAATGAAACTAATGAAATTTAGTTTCATTATTTACCTAGGTTTTTTTTTATTATCATTATTTACCTAGGGAGAGAAATATTACTTCTCATTAGAGGAATGGAGTAAATAATGGTGATTTCTCATGTTAGTAGTAAAAAAAAATAAATTATAAACCGACTAAAAATTAGGCTACGGTCTAATGAGAATTCGCAAACGAAAAAAACCTGTAATTATTAGGTATATCCCGGTCAATTTAGACATAAAAATAGTGATCAAATAACAAATACATACGGGTATTGATTTTCTCGTTACTTTTACAGATCTAGTGCTAAACAAGTTATTCAAGGTCAAATTCAAAGTTTCACTGAAAATATAGCCTAGACAAAAATTTTTACAAAAATTTTCCCTATACTTTTTTTCTTAAGAATCACCATTCCTAAGATATCACCATTCCTAAGATATCGCCATTCTAAAAGTTAAAGGAGTTACATTCTACATGATATGCACACAAATACCACGTATATGCATAGTCAGGCACTTAATATAACTGAACATGCCTATTTGTATCTCTCATAGGTTTAAATTCTGAGCAATATGTTATATTATGCAAGGGAGTGGTATAAAAGAAATACTATCTGAGATTTATGCACCTAAATCATTAGAAAAATTGCTTAATGGCCATGCTTACGCGATGGCAGTTCGAGCTCACACATTACTTTAGCTCACTTTAACTATGATCATATCTAAAGAATTAGTTCTTAATGACGTGAAGAATGCAAATCTGATTATTACTTTTGAAAATATTATAAATAACACTCTTTCATACTATGATATTGAAGAAGATGACAAAACAACTGGACAATTATTTCATCGGTTCAATCAAAAACTAAAGGAATATCAAAAACGAAGACCTACACCACAATTATGGATACAATATTTTCGGATGGTGTCCTTTGAAAGGTGTTTATAAGAGCTGAATATATGGGTGATTGGCAAGCTCATTTGAACAGTGTTAATGAAATGCTTCCTTATTTCCATGCATTAGGGAATTTACCTTATGCTAAGTCAGCTCACTTATATTTGCAAGATATGCTTGAATTAGGGGAGGTAATTGATTCTAGTGTTTATCAAAGGTTCACAGAAGGATTTTTCACTGTTCGACATTCTGATAAATTAAGTTCTCGGGGCAAAAGCACGAAAGAAAGTGTAATAAGCAAATAAGATTATAGAATGCATGCTATAAATACTATGTGTGAAGAATTAGAAATTCTTGCTAATGTTCGAATGGATACAACTGATCAGCATGTAGATGTAAGTGAATTTCGAGTAAAGAAAGATGCTAAAGATATTAAAAACTTCTTGAATGGTTTTCATCCTTTTCCCGAAATTAACAAAATATTATCTATTGTTAGTGGAGTCGTCGGTGGTAATAACATTAATTGCCATAAAGCTTATGAAGTTGGCATTACTTCCATGTTCAAAATGATAGGTCAAACGTTCAATAATATTAAATTAAAACGCTCTGAAAAAGTAAGAATAGGGTTGTTGTGTTCACCAGCGTGTACTAATTGCCAAAGCCAGTCTTGCTCGAATGTTATAGACGAAGATTCGTGTGATATCGAAGAAGAAACTGCTGATTCATCTTCAGTTGAACAATTTATGGACATACAGCCAGAAGAAGAGAAAGCAAAAAAATAAATCGAAGAAGACATGACTGATAAAGTAGAATTTGAAGAGTATGAATCAGATTAAAATATTAACATAAATTAGAACCACAGTTTAAAATAATCACCTATATCAATACCATGCAGTAAATATAGTATTTTCCCATAAAACTCCCGTCATAACAGATCGTGGAATAGGCCTACCGGGGAAACCATTTAAAAAAAAAGCGCCAAGTACACTATCTCATAGGTGGTGTGGAAATCTATATTTTTGATAAAACTTACCGTTTTCGAGAAAAATCTAAAAAAACCGAAAATTTTGACTTTGACCTTGAATAACTTTTTTAGCACACAAGGGATCAATGGGGACTTTTGGCACTTCATTTCTAGTGGTTTACCCAAAAATTTAGCTTTGTCGGAATTTTTGTTATTTGAAATATCTATATTGATCGGATTAGTAGCATAGAAACATTTATGACAAATAAAAATACCGCAACGGAACATTTGGTTATAACTTGCAAAGCTTTCACTACTTTACCGCTGACTTTCTACTTCCTTTCGTTCTCGTTCATATTTTCTGTAGCATTCTGCATACCGTTTACGTACTTTCTTTCTTTCTTTCTTTTTCAAGTAATGTTTCAGTTTAGGAGGTGCATTTCGCCTTCATGATGGTGCAGCTTCAGCTTGGTGTTCAGCACGATTTCTTTCAAGTATTGCAGTGGTTACTTCTCCCTAAACTCCATGATGGTTATCTTCTTTTTTGTTGTGTATTAATTATATAAGATATATATGTGCATTTACTGAACTTGTCCTCTAAATAACTTTAATTGAAAGATGATATCATTTTGTACAAAGCCATCTTTTTTATCTTTGTCGCTTATAAGCAGGTAGGGTTAGGTTTGGTCCAGAACACTGGGGCCTCTTAGGTCTATTGTATTCCCCTGCTTTCCCAGTGTTTATCTTCTATCTTTGGAATAGTCCTGTGTCTTTGGTTAGTTTTAATAAATTTCCTACCAAGTGTTCTTGCGGCGTTCTTTCCGGTTCTAGGCCAAAAAAGGATGAAACGTCGCCTAGTAAGAGCTTCGCATTCGAAGATTACATGGTATGAGGTTTCTTCCTCTTCCATGCAGAGTCTACACGTAGTGGGATCACTGTGTAATCCCATCACATGAAGGTGTTTTAGCAAGCCGGGCCCCGTTAGTAATCCCACAATGGTGGATATCTGAGGCCTTGCGAGTTGTAGTGCCTCAGTAGCCATGCGTGGGTTTGGTCCACTTAGCATGAGCTTACTGATTCTGTGCATTCTTATCTGCTGCCAGTGAATTTGGGGTTTTGTGGTTATCCACCTGTTCACAGCCTGTCGAGCAGAGGTGTTGCTTATCCCAAATACAGGTTCGGGTCCTGTGAATGGTAGATCTGATCTCTCTTTGGCGAGTTTATCAGCCTTTTCATTCCCTTGGATACCTTTGTGCCCTGGTACCCACCCTAGTTTTACCTTGTGGGTTGCCAGATCATTTAGTATTCCAAGGCAGTTCCAGACAAGCTTTGACTTGATTCTGTTTGAATCAAGAGCCTTTAAGGCTGCTTGGCTATCTGAGAGAATTAGGATGGTTTGTTTTTGTGCTTTCTTCTTAAATTCTCTCGTACCCACAATTCGATTCAGCCTGAAATACAGTGGTATGTTTTTCCAGTGAGACGATGGGTTTAACTCCATGTACGCTAGAGCCTTTTCCCTTTTTAGTTTTAGATCCATCCGTATACTATACGAGACCGCTAAGCAAGTATTTATCTATCTCCTTATTACCTTGTTCCAGTTGCAGTTGACCTGGAAGAGTCTGTTGAAGGTTAGGAGGGGTGTCATGTGATCTGATCCCATGTTTAATATAGGTAGAATCATTTACTTCATGTGTTATTCTGGTATGTTTTAGCTTTTCCAGTGAGTTCCAGTTGTTGGAGATTTCCAGTCTGTATACACTCATTCTGGCCTCCCCCTTTATGACTAGGTCAAGCCATAATGCTGATTCATATGTGGCCATCTGATAGCTTAGATAAATTGATGATTTGCCTTGGTTGTACTCAGAAATGGATTCCGGTTTCAGGTGCATTTCTTCTGCTATTAATGGGGTCGTTTTTAGTTCAGATGGTTTAGTCAACAAGAGAAAGAAACATAGCAAACATAGCAAAGCGGCAGTACTGGCAAAGTAGACTTTTGCACCATTATTTGAAAAGTTAATTACTTGCGGATCCGAAGCGCCGGATCCAGTACCCGTATTTATCCACTTATCTATTTTAATCATTATTTTCTCAAATATATGTTTAAAACACAATAAAATTAAAAAACACACACACCATCCACATGAAAGTGAGATTTTATACAGACCTGACGATTCAGTGGTGCCACCTTGTGGTGACACTTCGCCTGTTACCCCTCATTTTAATAAAACGATTTACAACCAATTCAATTATAAATATTAAGCGATAAAACATTTAAAAGTGTGTTAAGCGTGTGAAGTTTACGTTTGGAAGGTCCGAGAAGGACTAAATTCTTTATTTCTTATTTTTTTAATTAATAAAAATCACAAATTCAAATATTTGTGTTAATTGTATAAAAATAGATATTTTATCTTAATAGTCTCTAAATTATTTTTTAAAATTTTGTAATCCTGTTTATATATCGTAGAAAAAATATACTGTATAGTTCGTCTTCATGTGATATGGACATCGTGAATATCATATTGCACAAACTACTGTTTTAAACTATATTTAGTTTTTTAATTCCTGTACGCAATAAGATATAATTATTAATAATTTTTGTTTTGTACTCATATGACATTGTAATTTAAACTTTAAATAAAAATTAGTATTAAAACTAATCTGAATCTTTGTATATCGAAGGAAATTGGATGCTTCATGAATTTATACACTTCAAATTACAAGTATGTAATAACTAATAATATTTTCGCCAAGTATACAATTACAATTTATAAATTCGTTCCCCTTAACATACTGTGTTGAAAATTTTCTGAATTCAATCTTACCGTGTTTCCTCTTTTATCATTTTCATCCTCCTAGTACTATATTATTCTGTAAATAACTACGATTTGTTTCCACGCCTCATTCAAAGCACATATAAACACAATTTTTCCACCGGCCATGATTTAGACACCAAGATCAAAGGAGATATCGTGTCTGTGAAATTTGCCTAGATAATATCTTGAAATTGTGGGTTGTTGCCTTTGGAGTTATTAAGATATAATAGATAAAACGTACAAATGTATGCGTGGTTGGGACGCATTAAATCTTGGATTTACTTTAAATTGAGAATTTTCGGGTAAGATTGATGTACACGTTTCTTTTGGAAGTGACAAATTTCTTTCATATTTTGTGGGTGGTTCGGATATTTTGTGGGTTTTGTACATGTATTATAAATTATTGAATAAAAAAACATAGTAATGAAATGATCCCGAGTACAAGGATTGATCTCTAAAATGTGTCTATATTTTCTTCTGCTCCTTTTTTATTTAAAAACAAACTAGATGAGAGGAAAGTCCTTACATATTTTAAATTTTGATATAAGTATTATCAATAATTATTTTTACAAATAATACCACTGAATACTATACGGTGTTTCAGGATAGGCTATATATATTAAAGTCATTAATAAAAATATTGAATAATAAAGGTTTCAAGTTGCTACCTTGAAGGACTCCGGAAGTGACTTAACATTACAAATTATTTCGCGTTAGTTAAATAAGAGACGAACATATACATATACTGACTATCAAAAAGGAGGTAAACACCCATATATGTCTATCCGATTTTAATAATTTTTGATACACATATTCAATGCCTCTTACCTAATAAGTGATTAGAAGTTGAGCGTCATTAGACAACTTACTGAAAAAACTGTTCCAATAATGTGTTGACGACTCGCGATTTCTTATGTACTCATTAATACATCTAGGCTCGGTTCTGCTGAGGTGGTCGATGTCTTCTTGGGGTATTTTATTTCAGGCTACCTCAAACTCATGGGAAAGGGCTGCTAAAGTCTCTGGAGAGAGCTGCAAACTCAACAGCCTGTGATCACTCATGTCCCAGACATGTTAAACAAAAGACAGATCAGGCAATCTTGGTAAACGGTTGATGAATATCGATCCATGAAGACTATCGTTTCTCTGGCAACATGTGGTCTGACATTGCCTTAATAGAACGTAGCATTTTCGATGGTATAAAAGTATGGAATCACATATGGTTCGACTACTTCCTGAATGTAGCGTCGATCTGTCATATTGCCTCCATTGAAAACTAGTCGTGATTTGTTACCATATGCAATATCATCCCACACCATATAACCCACGGTGTCTATATTACGCTCTCTATCAAATTGTTGATCACGTCTTCCACCACGTCGCCTTCTCACCCTTACATCTTGGTATCATCAAAAAATTTAGTTATATTAGGAAGATCCTTTTATAATTTTAGACAATCATTTTTTGAATAGGCCAATTTAAAGCTCGTGAAGTCATATGTAATCTAAAGAATACTGTGTTGATAGGACGGTAGATCATTGATAAAAACTGTGAAAAGCAGTGGAGAAATGTTACTTCTTGAGGCACACCTGAGGTTGCTATATGTATTGTTCTGAGAAATTTCTGCTAACTTTAACAGTTATACTTCTTGGCTTAGAGAACCCAAACTAATCAAGTTTGCTGAACACAAGCTGATAATGAAGTGTGTCAAAGGCTTTTATTACATCTGTAAATAGGTATTACATCTATTTATGTTTTATTTTTAATAGTAAGGGAAGCAGTATTAGTAGTTTTTAAAGGAATAGTATAATACCTTTGACAGTAGAACTCATCTATCTACCGAGATAAATTCTTTTCCGTATAGAGGGAAGCGTCTCTATGCGCAATTTTAATTTTCCGACTATCCATTTCGCGAAAGAGTCAATAAATAGATTGAGGTGCAAGGCGGCGTGTTTGGTATTATTGAATGCATCTGAAAGGCAAACGGGAGAGAAGGGGACACGAG